ATCCTAATTTATTGCTTTTACCATGGTGGTAGTTAATGCGAGCAGTGAAACCGAACAATTTATGAAGAACGTGCCGGACGGTTAAAAGAGAGAAAGAGATAAAAGGAAAGTAAAGCGGTAAAGAATGAAACGTAAAAGGTTAGCAATGAGTGTGTGTGTGTGAGAGAGAGAGAGAGAGAGAGAGAGAGAGAGAGAGAGAGAGAGAGAGAATATCCCAGAAGTCAGTATTTCAAGTCGACAGCACGCATCGTGCTGTGCCTTTGGACGATTCGTAATTAACGGGCACTACGTGAGCTCACTCTGCAATTCAAAGGGATACGATTGGCTCGATTGAGATCTGAGGAGGAAGCGAAAAAGAAAGGAAAAAAAAAAAATAGTGGAAGAAACAAAATTCCCTAGAAATAAATAGAATGGTCGATTCTTAATTAATTAATCGAGCAAGCTGGATAAGCCGGATTGAGAAAGGAGACATTTTTTTTTTCGTTTTTTTTTTTATCTTAATTCCACACTGGAACGAAACAAACTCCCTAGGGATGAATAATCGGGAATCCTAATCGGTACTAATCAATCGGTTCGATCGGACTGAACTGGGGATTAGCTGACGAAGTATCTCTCTTGAGGATACGTTGAACACTGGGAGGAAGGGACTGTCCCAACCGGAGAAATATATCTGGGAAGTTAACCAGGCGTGGAAAGAGTTCTGAAGGAAGAGGAAGAAAAAAAAACGGCAAGTCTCAGAGTTTCTAGTTATTTCATTGGGAAAAGTTTCACTCAATGTCCTTCCCTCCTGAGACTTGACTTTTGGCTCCTGATGCATGACTGCATTGTCCTATATAAAGGGTATGACGTTTTTTCAGGGTTTCAAATTACCGCAGGAACTTTGTTACGCTTTTAGGAAATTCCTTGATAAAGTGCTGTTATATATATATATACGATTAAACCAATTGTAGGGACGTATTTTGATCCTTTCTAATGACTCTGTCTCCGAATGCCGATAAAAACCACAATTATACCAACGCCAAGGTTCTACTGCCCGTCGATAATATATTGTGCGACGATGTTATTCCAAGATATTATTATTTATATCACATTTGTTCGAGACTTCCCAGAGGACTTCGTATACCAGTACAGGAAACGCCCAGGAGAACATAAATACACGTAAAAAAAAAATTTTGACAAAAACGTAATATCTTTCAGATACCTATCGCACGCGACGTAATAATTAGCCATAAGATCATTGACGCGACACAGAATAAAAATTATTTGTTTCAATGGGGGAAAAAAAAGAAAAATTTAATTAGGAAGAATTGATCGTATTAGCGGGAAAAGGGCACGTCTAACGGCACCGCAGCATAACCTCGAAACGACGATTTTTAAAAGATAAACCTTGCATACAAAAATAACAGATTCTACAAGCCCTTCTGTATTTAAGGTTTGTCACGATTGTTCAAAAAGAACAAAAAAAAAAGGCTAGATCATTCACGAGAAGCCCAAAATAGAAAATTAATGAATATTTAATATTTCCTGCCAGTAACTATACACACAGCCCACGTCACTGAAACACAAGTAGAAAAGCATGGGATACCCAGACAGCGAGTAACCAGCGTGAAGAATATTTTCCGAAAATCCTACTTCATTATGAAGTACAGCAAGTCGTTTTCCGATCCGTCACACGTCACTTTCCACGAGATGAGAAATCTCCTATGAAATTATTCACACCAGGATTGATAAGCCGTAACTTATTTCTCGTTTCTTTTCGGATTTTTCCAGATAGCCTACGTTACCCTTGCGTGAATAAAATAGATACGGTAAGGTTAGGTAAGCCTTATGACAGATCGAAATAAAAGGTCGAAAAAAATGATCTTACGTCTCTCTTGCTCTCTATATAAAGCGCTTAGGTGCTCTCTAGGTGCTACTGCGATTCACCTGGGATTCGGGCCATTAAACTATCGCGTTATCCACTCGGGCGAACACGGTGCAGTCGCAATCGCGCCGCGAACTTTTGCCCTTTTGCGCTACTGACGGCGGCGATACTTCAAGGGCCCCAGGTCACGCGCGCCACACTGACATCTCGTGCTTTGGAGATACCCGTACGTCAACGTCCACGGGGATGACCAGAACGCGCACCAGAGGGCCCCGGGACCCTCTTACGAGACGACGGATAATTTTTATAAAATCGCGAGGACGAGACCCGAGACGCTCTGCGATCCCGGTTGGCAGAGTCCCGGCTCGTGACGTCACGGGAGTCGGGGATCGATCCCCGTAACATCCCCCGCTTTCCTAGCAACCGTCCCGAAAACGTGGAACCTCAGTGCTTACCTGGACCACGCGACTGACCCGGCGAAAAACATTCGGTTGGTTTACAAGGGTCTCTCGAGTCTCCTGGTCTTTTTACTCAGTTTCCGGGCGAACCCCTAAACCCTCTCCGAGAGCCACCGAACAAGGTGGCGACTCTAACCCTTTGTCTACTTTTATATTTCAAATTGTTTCTCGGCTGGTGTCAATGACCTTTCGAACCGAGCGCTGCTCCACTGATACAGCTCAGCTTCCTTTACACTGGATCAGGACTACTTCCGGTGACTCGTAGCTTCCACTATGAAAGTCAATTTTCAAAAACCCGTATCAATGTTTAAAAAAAATTACACTATTGGCAAATACACCTGACGTTCCTTTCATTTTACAGGTTCAACTCTTAACTTCCGTTTCCGCTGGCTGGTAACAGAAGGTCACAAACTCGTATACACTTTTCCATACGGGACCAATGCAAATTGGAATTCACATGTGTATAGTCGCACGAGAAAACGATGAAATTGGGGATTCCTTCTGTTGTATTCTTTATTAAAAAAAAAAAACTCTACCAACTGTTACCATATTTCGAGAAAGATTCGGGGATGTTACAAAAAAAAATTTTCTACTCGTACCATTTTTTGGAATTTCTTAACCCTGCCCATGTACCAGCCGTCAATACGTAGAGCGGTATCGAGCCTTGCTTTACCGGTAAATAAATCCATGAACAACGTACAGAGGGTAACGGACAATTCAGCAGATAACGTCTCAAGCCAACAGCGTCTCTACGGATAAAGAAATCCATATACGAACCATTGCGACAAACCGGACGTTTCCCAAAGTTTTGTTAGCCGGTAAAGTCGCGCTATTGACCAACAACGCAAAGTACGATCCTCCCAGGACAAAGTATTTTCCCAGAGACGTCATTACGTTCCATGAATAGTTAGCGCGCTCCTGCACTGAAGTTTGCATGATGAAAATGGGGAGGGTAGTACAGTGCTTTGTATAACTAGGACTGTATATGCGAAAGAAATGCAAAGTTGCTTCCTAGACTTTTTCCATAGGCAGACAAATAGAGGAAAAGTACGCTCAAGGCCATTCAATAAGTTCATGGCAATTAAGTACGTACAATCGTACGATTGTCGAGGAAATATCGGGCTCCTTGAAATTACGTAATCGCCAGACACTGAATACCTAACGACAGTTAATTTCCGATCTCTTAGTCATTCTTAAACTACCCCTTGACAATCTCTCAACGGAATCTCGGAAAGCTGTACGAGATTACAGACGCAGGCTACGATTGCACGCTGTGATTAGTACTATTGATAACAGGAATACGTCCTACACCAACCGGTGCATTCGCCATCGCGGAAGACTCCAGACGTCCAGCGAAAACTTGATTGCTTGTCGGTTCGAAGGATAAAAACATTGAGACAATAGTCAAAGCTAATGAAACCCGTGAGCGGAAATGCGTGGGTGCAGCCGATGTGACGTCACTTTACCACGGACTTTCCGAGATCCAAGGTTACTGACCTTACTTAGGACAGAATGGAGTAACTACCTCGAGTACTGGTACTCCCCCGCTTCTAGACGGATGACGTCACGTCGTTAGTTACAAGGAATACGGAGAGAATGAGATAGGGGGAGAAAGGGAGAGAAAGCATCTATCTTCGTCCCAACCTGGTATTCCTTTAATCCCTATATCTTCCGTTATCGCACAGCCATCTAATCTTCGTATTGCATGTAAAAGAATATTTAATGGAAATATTACTGAAGATGGTCATAACCTAAAAAGTAGCCTGATAGGACTGACTGACTTTCTTTTTATTCCGTATGATCACCTTTGACCTTTCATTTTGATTCGACGAATGTCCATTGCGCATTTTCACGAAGAGGTGTGATCGGTGATCTATGGATTTATGTTTATCTGCGGTATACGGTACCAATGTCCAAAGGTAATACGTGTGTATTTCTATACAGGGGGAGGAAGATACGAAGCACTAAACTCTCAGCCGCAAACAATGCCGATGACTGAGAAATAGGGGTGGGCGGTTTACCTTGGCTTAATTATTTGTTCTGGTTCCTTCGGGAGTGATCTCCCGGCGATGTCTTAGCTTTGGTCTTATTTACGTCGAAAATAAGAAATCGGAATGTGTTCTTTGAGCTTCCATGAAAGACAATAATACACGGGGTATTTCGAGGTTGAGAAATTTTCAAAGGACTTACGGTTTCAGTATAACCATCTCGCCGCATGAAATCCTCCGTATATAACGGGCGTGTTATAAGTATTCTTATAATCAAATGGATGAAAACTTTGCCAGGCTACTCGACAAGGCCAGACGGCTTATACGGGCTTTGAGATACATCGCGCTCCTGCATATACGTGCCGTTGCGTTTTAAGTCTCCACGCTGCTAAGAAGCTCATTGCGATGCACCGGCATACACGGCTGTTTGCGTCTTCTTGGGTTGCGGTCGCAGAGCTAGATATGAGCCAGGATTAATTTAATGGAATTCACGCACACCTTTTGCGTGATTTTCACCTCGGAACTTCTGACTGTAAGTCTTGTCGCTATTTGTAAATTCCCTGGCTATAGGTATAGCTATATGTATGTGATTGTCTACTCGAAGGAAACAGTACGCGCAGGGAGAACACACGGCTGTGCAGCAGTGTTAATAGATCTAATATGAATGAGGACTTTTGAAAAATGACTCACCCTGACGTCGATGCAAAATCCGCTGCACTTCGCCAGCCTCGCTGCCACTTTCGCTCTCGCTAAGTCCTGGACATTTTCTTTGCTGGTTCCCGTCCTTTCTTCGTCCTGCATCAAGTTTCTCGGGTCTGGATCTTCCTTGATCCTTCGTGCTGGCACCGCCACGTCGGAGTAGCCAGGACGTTTCCCTAGGAGGTGGTGGGAGCGGTCTGTTGGCATCGTACTCCTGGTCCAGGGACGTCGTAACATTCTCACTCGCAGGGTCGATCCTATTTTTAACCAAGTTCACAAGACTTCCAGGAGGACCTGCAGTCTGGGAAATCGACCTGGCCAGAACGTTTCCGTAAACGTTGTTGGTGTTGTTCTGATTTTCTTCGTCGTGAAGGAAAACAGAATCGTTCTCTGACGTGGTGGAACTTCTCGGATTGTCGATCTTGTGCTTCCTGGTCGGCGGTTCTGGCGCCATCCCATGTTTCGTTGGCCAGACACCAGTACCAACCTCAGGCGAGTTTGTCTGGTTAGAGAAACTAACCCTCTTAGGACCGACCGCACCATAATCTACCGAACTGCTAGAGTTACTAATGAGACTGCCTCTCTTGAAGATTGGTGGTGGTTTCCGGTCAGTCTCGTTCTCCTCTTGATAAATCGGTCGAGCATCCGGTTTACGAAGTGCAGCCACCGTGCTCTTCTCGCGAGTGTTCCTCTGGAATCCACCATCGTCAGGCTCGCTCGTTTGCCTGGGCAAACTGAGACTGCGACGCTCGTCGCTTCTTGTAAAATGAGGTGAGACGCTCTTTGACCTTGGGACGTCCTTCTCCTGGAATTCTTGCGAGGATACCTTCTTGACGGGTTGTTCCTGTTCTTGCGGTTGAGGTCGGACAACCAGGACTGGCTGGTTTTGCCCCTTCTGACCCATTATCGGTGGCTTGCCCACTGGGTTGACTGTAGAATTTTGCAATTTGCTACGCCAGTAAAGTTGCTCTACGTTTGGCGGTAGGGACATACTCTGATTAGCCAGACTCGGACTGGAACCATGCCTGATGACTCCAGCGGTGGGCGACGTGGGTGGACTTTGTAATTTTCTTCTCCAATACAACGGATCGGCTTTCTCGTCCATCATGTTCCGTTCATAAATTCGTCGTTGCTGCTCTTCGTCGAGTCTTTTCAATTGCTGCCAGTAAATTGCCTCGCGAACTTCAGGAGGCTCGGTTTTGTTTTCTGGACTCTGATTAATCTGATGACTCATCCGGGTTGGCGACGTCATTAATTTTCGTTGAGCTTCAAGCGCTTTATGCTGCAAGTAGAAGGCCTCCAGGTGTTGCATGGTCTGACGTTTCGACGGTGACAACTGTCTACCACGGTGCTGACCGTAGATGGGTTCTGAGGATCTTTGAGCATAGATGGGGTCCTGCTGCTGTGTATAAATAGGCTCCTGATGTCCAGACTGTCTGGACCTGCAAATCTGCTCTTGGCTTGACGTGTAAATTACTTGCGGTGGTCTAGGTGTCCCTGGTTGGACACCTTCCAGTCTCCGAGAGTAAATTGGCTGCTGAGAATTATTCACAGGGGACGCACCAGGAGCTTGGACTTGCCTCTCTCCGTAAATCGGATCTACTAATTGTCTCTTAACTTCGTGGTTTCTCGTTGCAGGTATCACCTGGACTTCAGTTTGATTATGCGATTGTTGCTTTAGTTGCTGCACTGCAGCATCCTGTCTTTCGGCTGGGGAAGCTGCTCTCTGATGATTCCTAAGATCTTGAATGGGTGCTCCAACTGCGGCCAGCATCCCATTAGGCTGTCTCTGAACGTAAATGGGTTCAGGTCTCTGAATTCTGTCTGGAACAGAATTCTGGACACTTCTAGGTAAGTTCAAGGCTGGTGACAAAGCTCTGTTTTGCACAATCTTCTGCAGAGTTTGTCTACCACCGTACACTGGCTCTGTCGGTAAAGTAGAACTCTTCTGAGGATCATGAGCCAATGGAGACTTGCAGCGTTCCAGCCTCTCAGCAACGGTTTGCTTAAGGGACTGCCTGGAACCCAAAACTTGACTCGGTGAATCTGCCATAGGAACTGGGGACTCGGGACAACTTGCTTCCAATCTGTTGCCAGGACGTCGTATCTCGTAGATGGCTTCTCTCTTGGGTGAAGCTATAAGAATTTGATCATTAGGCTGAGAACGTCTAGAGGACATCGATACGTAAGATCCAGTGCTTGAACTCGTCCTGGTCTGGTTCATATTTGGAGATGAAACCGGCGTCCGCATCTCATTGGGTGTCCTACCCTGGCGAGGTGACATTGGTCTAGTCTGTGGAGCGACTGGTACCCTGGTAGCATGTGGTGAAGTCGGACCTGAGGATGCTCTCACTTGATTCTGAGTGACTATAGTCAACGGTGAAGTCATCCTCTGCATTCTTGAAGGTGACACGACCCTGGGAATATTTTGAACTGGTGATACGGCTCTTTCTCTGGAGACATCAGACATTGGCAGTGCAGATGCCACTCCCTCGAGGCTACGTACTGGTGACAAAACCCTTGATGGGTTCTGTTTTGAATTCTCACTAGGTCCAGTCACATTTTTCTCACTGTAAATTCTATTTGCTACATCCGGTTCGTTAACGTTGTCTACAGTAGCTCTGAGTTTAGCAAGATTATTTGACATAGGAATGTTTGGCGAATTTCTTTGAACGTATATAGCATCGGCATTGGGCAAAGTCTGATTAAAGATCCTGGAATTGGATGAAGATTTCTCATAGAATCCCGGCGACCTGGTCCTGTCAGGCAATGGCGATACTGGTGTCTCATCGTACACACGATCAGTCTTGGTCTCAACTTTTACATTAGGCGAGATTGGATAAGCTCTAGGAGACGGCTGCTTGTTCTCATAAGTCTGATCTCGTCTTTCACTAAAACTGTCGTTCGGAGATGTACGAGAACTTCCTCTAGGCGAATTTAAGTAGTATTCCCCACTTTTTGAACTACTCGGCGAAAATTCACTTTTCTGACTGGAATTGGGAGTGTAACTAGAGTCCGCATAGTCTCCAGATTTCTGACTCGTATTTGGTGAATATTTGGCCGACCGTCCAATGAGCGGAGCTTTTTGATTTTGATTGACAATCAATTGCCTTGTGATTTTAACCTGAGCTGAGACTGGAGTCAGATTAAATCCAGAATCAATGCTCTGATTCCTGTTGATCTCAACTTTGTCCGCGTCCATCAAGTTACCGTTTTCATACAGTCTACCGTTCTCATAGTTCTGATTATCTGTCACGTACGATTCTTGAGGATAATTATCAGTCGTACGTCTACCGCGTGACAATTCGCGCTGCTTCTGCAGGTCGTTATGATTTTCATAATTCGAAAATTCAACTTTTTGTGGAATAGCAGGCAATGGCCTGTCGACCGGATGCACTGCCCTGGGTCTTATCAAGAATCGTTCGCTTGGAGGTGCTGAGATCCTTCCCGAAGGACCGTGGTTCCTCATGAATCTGGGTTGAGTATCCTGTAAGCTGTGCTTCCGTTCCAGACTACATTTCCGGTCATCAGCACGACGTTGCTTGATCTGTCTCATATCCGGCGAGCCACTTATAATATTATGATCGATCCACTTGTCATCAGCTGCTATAGAGCTCAATGATGAATTAGCTGTGCACGTTCTAGCCGATCTACCATCCTGAAGAAGACTTCGGTCGCCTTGGAGAAAATGATCAGGCGTACTAGTGATGATTCCTTGCTCGGGAAACAGTTCCTGCTTTATCTCATTCAATCTCTCCTCTATTATAGAACTGTTTAGACTCGTATCCAACTTCACGTTCCTCTTGATATCCTCATTGAGGTTCATCGTATCCGGCGACCTGGTGTAATTCCCATTTTGTTGATGCTGCGTGAAGTGCTTCTCTTCGCGTTTCTTCTTTTCCTTTTGCTCCTTCTTGTACTCCTTCCGGGAATCCTTGGGCGAGAAGAGTCCAGGAAGAAGACGTCGAAAGCCCTTGCGTTTCTTCTCGTCCTTCGCGGGTTTCGAAGTCCCAGCATCCATTTTGAATTCTTGTATCAGATTCGCGTATCCGTCTTTTCCCGTAGACGGTTTCGAGATATTCTTCTCCCTCTTCCTCCGGGCAGCCTGAGAGAATATTGAATCTTCAGGAACTTCTACCGCATCAGGATCAGCTGCTGTCTCAATGAACGAACCATTGTTTACTTCTTTGGAATTATTTTCTTTCGAGAAAGCAGTATCTACTATTATTTTTTTCTCATCTTCGACCTTTCGTACGGTCAGTGTAGTAGACTGACTTTCTGCGCCGTTGAAATCTCTTTTAGAGGCTTCTAAAGTGTCGATCTCTATCACCGGTCTCTGCTTCGATTCGCAATTAGCATCGTTATCCCGCAAAGTACTGGAGTCATCGGTTTTACAGGTCTTCACCGATGATTCCTTCAAAGTACTATTTTTCGACTCGTTTTCCGTCTCGTCAAATTCGCCCTTGTCGCCAGCTTCCTCTATATCTTCATCGATGGCTCTAATTCTATCCTCAAGACAGGAGTCAGAGTCCACAGTACTCACCGTATCCTCTAAGACCTCATTGGATTTCCTAATAGCATCCTCCAAGTTGATGTCCAAGCGTTTCTGCGCCTGCTCAACGAACCTGCAGGTACCCGCGTCCTCGACGATACTTTCATGAGAGGATATGCTACCCAGTTCCTCGACGTAGGACGACTTGGACGATTCCGAAGAGTTTTGATCCAGCTGACTCTCCAAGAATTCACCGGACCATCTCTTCTCGACCTCGGTGACCTTTTTACCGTACTTGGCTGGTGCCTGCTGCCTGTCGACCTTCTCTGTGTCCGACGTATAATCCAAGTCCGTTTCAAGAAGACGCTTCTCTTCTATCTTGAGCTTCTTATCGAAGTTATGCTTCTCCAGGAACTCCTTATCGAAGGACCTCCTGGTTACGTTCTCGTTAAGGTCGAGGTCACGAATGGGAACGACCTTCAATGAATGAGCCTGAAGATTTACGATCTCGTTCTTGTAAGTCTCGGCAGTGGAGGCATGAATGCTGGTACCAAGATTCCTCTGAAGCCTCTCGATCTCCGACTGACTCTTCTCCAAACGATCCTGAGCGGCACTACTTCCGCCAGGATCACTCTTACTTCCGGGACCCAACTTTGTCGCGTCTACCTTTACCAATTCACTTCTGTCTTTCTTGAGCTCATCCACTATTCTTATTTTCTCCAGCTGATCCGTACCACTCTTCGATCCTCCCCCATCATTATGATCTTCCCTGGACTTATCCTCGTTCCGAATATCTTTTTCATTCTTTATTCCCTCATCTTTCCTATTCGCCAACGCTTCTGAATCTTCCTTACCGACCGTCCTTGAACTCCCAACGTAATTCGATGCTCCGATCTGTCTCTTGGGCTTCTGCGGCACTTTGGGTGGGACTTTGCGCGTTTTGGCGGGACTCGCGGCTTTGAGACTTTTATTAGTCCTTATCAGACTGCCAATGGACGAGCTTTTAGTGAGCTTTATAGGACTTATACGTTTCTCATTGAGCGAAGTGACGCTCCCACTCTTTTGCACTTTCGAGACAGGAAGTCTCGATCCGCCCTTCAAAGTACTTTGCTTCTTCTCCGATGGTGACGATGCGCCATTCTCACCTTGCTTCAGCCTACTTCTGGTAATCGATGCATCCTTACCAGCAGATACCTTACCAGTTCCTATCTTTGTGCCAAATGATATTTTCTCCTCAACTGTTTTTGGCTTCACCAGGAAGCGTTTCTTAGATTCGCCAAACTTACGCGAACTTTCACTCTTCGTCAGAAGCACTTCGCGCGACCGTTCCGTCTCCAGAACGATTTTCTCTACCGTGACCTTGTCGACCGATAGTATCCTGACTGCTTCGCCCGACGAACAGTCCTCGTCCACTTCCTCCAGTCGCTTCGAAAATCCTCCCGTCGACTTATCAGGATGCACCGAGGAATCCTCCATCCTCGTGTAACCAGGAGCTGCTTAGTAAATCCTGAAATAAATAGAAAGCAATTAAACGTAAGTCAGTGCACGAAAAAAAATATAACCTGAATTTCATATTGAAAAAAATAGCAGCCATGACGCAACGCGGACTTGTACGCGTATCGAAAGATGACAAAGCCTCGAGCTCGTCCTCCGTATAAAATATCTAAACGTCACGTCTACAGTCTGACCTAACCTACATACAAAGGAATACACTGTCTCCGGGAATACTGAAAATAGTCCCGACAGAATGACGAACCAGAAACGGTTTTGCGCGACGCAATATTCGCCTTGCGGTTTCCCATCGAGCGATACGGTCCTGAGCAGCAGCCGCATTCGTGTCGGCAGTTTGAAATCCATATTTAATATTTCGCACTCAGAGAGAACGACGGGAATTACTCTGTGCTCTCCTACCAGAATACGTAATAGCGTAAGGGGATATTAAGAGAACGCAATCGATGCTCGGTAAGGAAATTAAAGAAAACAAAATACGTATACCTTACACTCGAGCGAAATGGCGCCGACGTGATTTAAAATTTTTTTAAATTGACAATGATAATAAGGGCTGCACCATCCATCCGGCAAGTAGCGTCATTATTAGTTGACTTAAATCGTCCTTATGACGTTGCTACCTAAATATATACGAAACGACCCAGTGAAATTTCCTCTAGACTAAACAAATTTCCACACCCTAATCCGCATCCGACGGGCAACTTTATTTACAAGGCGCACCTCTATGCTTGTAAGGTATCGCGACAGCGCCTTAATTCCTCACGGATTCCAACTAAAGAAATCAAAACCCCAAACTCCCCCGATCATGAAGATCGCCTTTTTTTTATACCGATATTTCTCGCGACGTACTCGGACGCGACTAAAAGCCGAGCGACAGTCCTAACGATCGCGCACGCGCGCGTGCGCCTGCGCAAATCGCCTATTGTGAATTCCCTTGCTGCTCCTCCTCGCCATTATATCCACCCGTCCTCGCGCGACGTTCGCGCGTCAACTATACCTACAGACGACGCTATTGTGCAGTTTAGTCGTTCGATTTGCGCGATTGCAACGAACGGCAGTTTCCATGAATCGACTATGTCGCTTAGGAATGCAAAGGATCGATCCTTCGAATCCGCATCGCACGACCTTGCCTGTGGGCTGGTACGCAAAGAAATGCAATATTCGTCACTGTAAATAAATCCAGCGGTATTGGCTTACATTTCTGTCGCGTTATGCGAACGCGGATTACATCGGCTACGAGTAAACATATGTATAAAGTTAACGTCAGGCGATAGCCGTTGCTCTAGAAATTCGCCCAAAGTAAAAATTCAACGTCGTCGAACCAGAAACGGCCGATGGCTCCGCCCTTAACTGTATCCCAGACATGTAGGCTGACGTACGCGGTGACACTTTCCAAACGCGCTGTGATTTTTATCAGAGTTAATTATACCGGCAAACCTAGGCAACTCAAATGTCAAATGTCAAGTAGCATTGATCCTGCTGATAAAATGGACAGAGGGTACTTCAACCGGCGCAGACAAATTTTATTTTACGTTTTATCGTACGATCGACAATTTTTCATACATAACGGGTAGTACTAAGAGTCAGATAATACAATGGATAAATATATATCGTACACGTGACAAACTGTATAATTGTTATTATACCAGAAAAAAAGGATGGATAGATTCAACGTCACTGCGGACGTCTGATCAGATGTTGAGAAATCAAGTGACAAAAGTATCGTTGGAAATAATTGAGTTATCGGCAAAGTACCTTCGAGATCCTGACCTGCTATCGCGATACGTCTAAGTCAATAAACGCAAATCCATTGGCGTCTTCCAGTAGCGTCACGTGGTTGATGATGCTGAACGGACGCACAGTGGACTCATAAAATCTTAACCACTATCGCGATACACCGCAAGTCACAATTTACAAGGTAAACGTAACAGACAATTACTGTATACGGTCCAGTTAGCCAAATAAGACTGAAAAAAGAGACTAAACAGCCCGATCTCAAGGTACGAACCGACGTTCATGAAATAGAGCGTGCGATTACCTTCCACGATACCGAGGGTTTCCCTCGAGACGATCGGTAGCAAGTTACCATTAAAAGAGGTACAGTAACTCTGCACGTATAATACGTGTACCGAGATAGGACTTTCTTTTCCCTCTTGGCGCCAGCATCTCAACCGGTTGCAAGAGAGGAGACGAATCCGTTCAAGTTCATCAACCAAGAAACGTCAGTGTATCGAAATTCTTTAACCGCACTATACCTATATACATCACTGTTTACGTTAATTCCTGATAGAAAATTCTAGGCAATAAGACAGGGTGAGTAGTAAGGAGTGAATTTTGAGAAATTAGAAGAATATTGGAAATAGCTACGGGTTACCTGACGATCCACCATCCCAGTAGAGATATCGCGTGATATCCTTTTTCTTCAGGATGACTATTTAATCCGAGTCGAATTATTTCCTCAACTTTTATATGATGACGTACGTCACCTCATCGCGCACTGTTATTAATATTGTCACGCGAACCAACAGCACTGTTACTTCGTAGATTTTAACGGGTCCTCGAATATTATCGTACTCTAGGTGAAAATACGTGCAAATTTTCAGGTGAAAAGGAGTGACGGGATGTGCAAAATTGTCGAGTATAGAGAGAGAGAGAGAGAGACACGTGTTGTGAACAGCGTCTCTCTACTGACTGAGCAGTTTCGTTATAATGCACGTAGAAGCGAGTCGTAAAGAGAGAGAGAGAGAGAGAGAGAGAGAGGAACGAGAAAGGCGAGAGGAGAGCGAAACCAACTGAGCAGACTGTGAATGCTGCTGCTCGTAGCTCAGGAACAAGCTTGAAATCGTGCGAGTGAACTTCGATTTGTTGGTGTTAGAATGCTGTTGTGTTAACACTGATAACGAGTTAGGTACAGGTATATCATATCAGTGACTGACAGTGGTTCTCAATATTTTTGAAAAATCGAAAAAAAAGTGTGCAAGAAAAAAAGGAATACTTTACTGATCATATTAAAAAAAAAAAAAAAAAAAAAAAAAAAAAA